TTGGATCAGGGTTATCAGCAGTATCGGACATTGAAGATGCAGACGGCCCCACAACCATGCATGGCACAACAGGGCAGTGATGTATCACTTCAGTATCCATGGCTACGTGATGGCTGTTGGCTGGTCCCTCAGGAACTGACAGGTTACCGCACCGAATGCACTGCAAGATTCTACAGCTATTCTGCACAGGATACATGGCACTGTGTGGATACCGACAGGTGCAAGCATGAACGATCGGTCCTTCTTCAGACCCACCGATACCACATGTGTTCAGGCTCAGCAAGCATATCGACTACTGCGTGGCTGTGCTATTCAGGGTTTGGACCTCAGTGGGAAAGTGGCTCAGTTTCAATGCGAGAGTACCGCATGTTCTTCTTCCGTTGCATCTTGCTGTCGCTGCAGCGGAGGGCTTTCGCAATGCATGTGATGTTCTGCGGTAGATCACTTTATCAGCCTATCCCGTTCATACAAGCTGTTGCGCTTCTTACTCAGACTACGACTTCTCACCCAGCGGTCTACAGCATTTCCTGTAATACTGTGCCACCCATAAACGAGATTTCCAGCAGAGTTCCTCCAATGTCAGATGTTTACACGCCGACCAATCCGGAACCGCGACCAGCCGGAGACTCCAGACTGCCTCTTCCGAGACGGCGAAATGATCGACATGTCTCTCCCGAAGCGCCCGATGCTGTTCGGAATCCCATCTTGCGCAAGCGGAGCTGCCTGCGGGAGCCGTTGCCGCGAAATAGGAGCAAGAAAGGTGTTCAACGCAGCTGGACTACAAATCGGATGCTGGACGTGGAGCCTGTAAGTTCCCTTTCAATTAAGGAAGTGCCACTCTTGAGTCAATATGGGGATCCTGAGATCGTGCTACCAATGTCTACAGAACTTGCACAGGCACATCCACGTGGAGCCAAATTAATGGAGATCGACCTAGGTCCCAGAAGGATGAGAATCATCGACATCAGCGACATTCCACGTGGTCCTGGTTCCTCGAGGGCTACTGCCGGATCGGATGCACGGGTTGATCGACGTGCGGCGACTGCTGCCAAACCTAAACCTACGAGTGGCAATGGCACGAAGAAAGGTTCCAGTGTTCGCCTTCGACCTCGTCCCAAGTGGGAAGCTCGTCGAGTTGATGGTACACATTCTGGCCAAGGTTCCTGCTCGGGATCAGCCGCAGTTGATGGGTCCAAGCGGCATTCAAGGCGGCGATTCTTGAAAATCAGAGGCTCTTTGCGGGAAAGTATTCGTCGAGTTCAGAGTGATGTGAAACGTAGTACCCGTGTTCTTATTCCACCGGCGTACCGGAAGACTACATCGAAGCAGTCCAGGAATCCAGATACGGATGATACACAGGACACTGCAGTTACGTTTCAGCCACTTCCAACGGGGGATGCAGCTGCTATATCTACTGGGTCCGTGGACCCCAATGCGGAGCGGGCCCATGAGGCGACTGACCCCTTAAAGGCTCGAGTGTTGTCCGACGAGCGTCGAAGAGCGCTCCTATTGTGGCAGAAGGAGCAATTTATGCAACGAGCTGAGCTGATGCGACTGAAGGCCTTGAGTACCTCGTCAACGATAAGTGCTCCGACCGAGAGCGCGCCATCTGTTGCAGATACTGTACAGCAGACTGCGAATGTTCCGGAAGCGCCGCAGTCGGGGTCCGCATATACGAGATTGCTCATGCCAGTGCACAGCACAAGCCCTTTTCTTGCGTCCACCACTCATTCTTTGATTCGCACTTTCAGGTCACTTACAATTCCATCGAAGCCGTGCGCGGTCCCAAGTCCGCGGTCCACGTTGTGCTGAGTTTCGCCTTGATTGAAGACAAGTTGTACAACGTGGATGGTGCGAGGGTTGTGGTGGTTGCCGAGGCCATCACTGAAGCCGCTCGTGAGTGCAGCACTTATGTATGTATCGCAAACCTACTTGGCAAACAGCGCGGCGATGTGCCGGTATTGCCCCAGGGTGCAGCTTGTACACTCAACTTTTGGCCACATTTGCATCATGATTCTCGAGCATTTGAATTCGCAGCATCTTACACTTTATCAGTTCATGTTATTCCGGGGTGTCGTGCCGCCCACAGGCACGCTCTCAATCATTCCAATTTCCCCAGATCACGCATGTGGAGATGGTGGAGGTTTCGCAGAGCGCCGGTTAGACGCTTCATTCGACGCAGGTCTCGATGGGACTCTTCCCGAGATGGATTGGTCAGACAGGTCGGTGGACTTTTCACTCAGGTGTATAACGCTTTTGTGCACCCTATGAATCACTGGAACAGGATCAGTTCGAGATCTAGCCCGAGACGAAATGGTACACCTCGTCGTCTTATATGCAGACCATCCCTCAGCAAGTTTTATGCTCTAGTGTGGTACTTCAGTTTCTGTCTTCAACCTCAGGTCATTGGCGCCGCTCGATCCTCGATTGACCCATTACAAGGCGCTGGCGGGCTACAGGATGCGTCTATCCCGTGGCAGCGCAAAAGGGCGTACAACCGTGCATGTCGCAGGGCCCTACTACATGGTTCGACTACATACCGAGGCCGTCCTTTCCAACTTCCGGGTAGCATCTCTACACTATGTACCAACACAGGACTCCCAGCTCGAAGAAAACATGATCCTCCCACCGTTGGTCGTCGACTCAGTGTGCTCACATGGAATTGTGGTGGTGCAAGTGCAGTCTACGATCAGTTTCTGTTATGGCTATTCCGATCAAAAACTGAGATTGCTGTGTTGGTGGAAACGAAGTGGACATTCACTAGTACTTGGACTGATCAACATTTCCACTATATTCATTCTGGGACCGGGACCAAGGGAGGAAGTGGTGGAGTTCTCGTGATTGTATCCCGTCAGTTGGTTAGTTCACATGCGCTGCGATTTCACGAGGTCAATCCTGGTCATCTGTTAAGGGTTTCGTTCACTCCACACGGATGTTCCAATGCCTACAACATTGTTGGTATATATCAACACGTGTGGAAGCCGGGCAACCTGTCTATCCGACATACGGTGTGGACTCAACTTTCCGGGCTGTGCCACTCCATTCCTAAACGCAGCTGTATGATCATTGCTGGTGATTGCAACGCTACATGCCAGCCTGAAGGACGTTTGGTTGGGTGCGGTGTGCCTAACTATTACGCCGCTGAGGATTCTACAGAGTTGCAAGATATCCTGCGCGCGCATGGACTTGTTGCATTGAACACGTTTGGAACTGCACCTGGCTATACTTTCAAGTTCGGACCACGTACATCACAGCTTGACTATATCTTTACTCGTGTTGCTCATGCTGATCGCGATGCCAAACGTGCGCATGCTGATTACGAGTTCCCGGTGGGTCGCCATATCTCGGATGATGCTGCATATCATTTTCCTGTGAAGACTTGTGTGGCCCGAACTTGGCAAACACATTCCCATCGGGAACCTCGGACCAACATCGATGTTGCTGCTCTCTCTCAGCAAGTTCAAAAGGGTGAACTAGAACATTTTGCTGCTCTCAAAAATGTGGTCGGTGCTTGGAGTCAAGAATGCGAGATACCATGTGACCCTCAAGCTTGTTTGCAGCAGTTAAATCACTCTATGCTGACCACTGCAGTGTCTTTGTATCCGGCACGGCGTTCGACCTCATCAGTTCCATGGCAAAATCAACTCCAAACAGGTCGTGCGGCTCGTATGTGGGAGCTTTTTCGTAGGATGCGTTCGTTCCGGGGGACAGAACGGGGCATCTTTCGGGCTTGGAGATGCTGGTGTCTGTTCAGTCAATTGCATCGTGAACATGGCAAATACTGCAAAATATTACGCAAACAACGCATCACTGATGCTCTCGAGGAGGCCGAACATGCTGCGCAGCGACATGACACATGGACATTGTATCGCATTGTTCGTCGGTTAGCTCCTAAGACTCCTTCGAAAAAGTTTCAAATCAAGCCGAAAGGACAAATGCTGTCTCCACAGGAGGAACTGCAGGCTATGGTGAAGTACTACGAAGCCTTATACGACACTGCAAAAGCGCCTCAGGGTCAAGGCGAGCAGAGATTGTCCACCACTTTTCAGGTCAGTGAAGCTGAAATGCGGGCCTACCTTCAGCAGATACCCATGCGCAAGGCGGTGTCATCTGGTTCTGTGCCGGGTGTGGTTTATCGTATCTGCGAGCAGGAATTGGCCCCTGCTCTATGCAAGCTGCTTCGATATATGTGGAGTACTGAGCATCTCATCTTCCCACGCATATGGTGTATAGCCGAGCTCATATTTCTCCCAAAGCCAGGCAAGAAAACCTCAGAGGTGAAAGACTGGCGCCCTATTGGACTTCAGGATGCGGTTGCCAAGTCCGTGATGCATCTTTTGGTGGATCGTCTCAAGCCATATGTTCAGGACTGGGCGAACTCTTTTCCGCTATACGCCTATATGCCTGGAAGATCAACTCGACAGGCGCTGCAAGTTGTTTTCTCACACTGTGATGCTGTTAGGCATCTTTGTCAGCAAGAAGCTGATACGATACATCGTCGTTTTGAAGGATGGCGGCCATCGGAACTATGTGGCGGACTACAGGTATGCTTAGATCTCAGTTCCGCTTTTGATCGAGTGCCGTGGCATCACATCCGGGATGCCTTTACACACTGTTCTCCGTAACCGTTGTGTTTAGGAAGGGCGCTGTGAGCGAAGTTTACAAAACTCAGTTCCCTCATCAGAAATTTTATTGCCCAGAAGATATATTGGGCAAACGGAAATATCGGCAAAGGTATAAATGCACCGACGGTATCCCCGGAGAATATATGGGGTATAAATTCTCAAATCTTGCTTTCGCCTCTTGGGACTCCAATCAAATGTATCCTCGCCACTTAATGATGAATATCTAAAGAGATAGCAACTGCCGAAAGGAGCACGCAGGATGTTTTCAAACGGATGGCGGCAGGCTCACGCAGGCATCTAATTCTTGAACAGGTCTTTGACGTGTCGGGAAGGCGCACCTGTGTGCCTGTGCCCCCCCTTCCGCAGGCCGGCACGTCACCAAGGAGACTTCTCTCTCTTTCTCTTGCCTCTGAAGCGTGGCCTGCCACCGACCGTGTCGCGGATGGAATCCACTTCACGGCTGCTCAGCTGTGCACGCCTGGCTTCGTAAAGAGTGTGAAGAAAGGAAAGCGGCAATTCAGAGTACTGCACTGGGACCCGCAACTCCTCAGAGAAACGGTCGAAGATTTCGTTGGTTAAATCATCGGCCTCCTGATTTTCGTCCCGTGGACGCCATCCCAAGTTCAACCGCAAGCCGGCCTTCATGAGAACATGGGTGAGCTGCATGTTAACCATGAGCAAGGGCCAGCGCGTTGTAGAACCCTTGCGAGTCAAGCCCTCGTTAGACTTATTATCCGTCTGAGCTAGAACCTCAACCTTCATCAAACGCCTAGTTGGCCCGGCTTCAAGGTGACCGAAGATGTGCAGTGCAGCCAGCGTGGCCAGCAATTCAGCCGATGCCGAAGCCCACTGACTGTGACCTTCTGAGTCGAAGAGGTAAGGGGCCTCTGAGGGAGTAAGTCGAAGTGAGAACCATCTGGACTCCTGAGTTGTGCCTGCGCAATCCCAACCCCCAAGGACCACGTACCCGTCCGCGCACTTTGCATCAGTGCGGAAGGCCACGCCTTCTCTTTTGACCGATCTTGCTGCGGCGACCTTGAACGTCATGTCCCTGAACGTGAGGTCAAGATATTCAAGAGTAAGGATGACGGTGTCGGGCATCCGAGCGACTGAACTGTCGTTCACCGCTGCCCTCCAGCTGTAAAGCGGTGCAAGGTGTGCCTTAAGCCAAACCAAAAGCCTAGCGACGAAGCCCAGCCTCCCTAAGAACTCAGCAAACCTGCGAACCGAAACAACAAACTTCGAGGACCGAGCCTCAGCGATCCATTTCAAGAGCCACTGGCCCCGCGATTCGGAAATTCCGACCCTCTGGTCTGGATAAGAAAGTTCGTAACCCACAAAAGCCGAAGTGAGCCCACCGCGGAACTTCTTGTATGCGAAAGGTGTGCCAAACATCTCGAAGCATGCTAGCCACATGAGCAAATGATGAAATTTCTCCCTTCCTGCGAAGTTGGCGTGAACATCATCTACGAAGACGAGGTGATAGAACCACAATGTCAAAAGAAAGCGCGCGGTGCAGCGGCCGATGATTCCAAACAATCTGGACCAAAGGAAGGCGGATGATGATATACCGAACGTTCCTACTTTGTTGTACCAAACGACCGGCGTGTCGTTGCGCACCTTACAGCACAACAAAGGCCAGTCGGCCTCTCTGACAAGGAACAACCTGTGAGCCGCCGTCACATCGCCGGTGAGGCAAAAGGTGGCCTCCTGACTTTGCTTTGCGCTGCGCACAAGGTGAACTACCTCCTGGGGTCCGGGATTGGATTGCTGATTAAGTAGCCTAATACCATTGTTGACATGCACACCGTGGGTGCCATCGTGTAATGGCCGAGCGGAACCGTCTGGTTTAATCAAGGAACCTAAAGAAGCTATCCTAACCCTATCCCGCCCGTACTTTTGCTCAAGAACCGGCAACGTGGAAGGCGCCATGCGCCCAAGAGCCTCTTCCTCTGCAAACTTCTTCTCAAGCTGGTCCGATGTTTCGTTTGCCGACGAATAGTTCTCGCGATGCCACTCGGCATCCGATTCATCGAGCTTGCGGGACTTGTGTTTGTACTCGTACACCTGTGGCAAGTGAGGCGCGGGGCAGTCATAACCGATCGCGACCCCGCTGACATAGGAGTCCTCCTGGCAAGAAACGGCTTTCCAATCTGGGTCCTGCAACAGCCGAGCCGTCGCAGACACAGCATGCAAGAAGAATGGCTGGCCACTCGGCACCACATCAAGATCCGTACACTTGCCTCCCGAAGCAACCTCTATGCAACTAAACCAATCCTTCCTAAGGACCCCTAACATCTCGGGAGTGAAAGGCGATTCCTTAAGGCGGCCTAGCGCAAGCTCCATCGCCGTGCGCTTGATATCAGGCACAACGTCCGCTACAAAGTCTCGAAGCACTTGATGCATGGCAGTGGCGAACTCCAAAGCCTGCTTGGGCAGCAGGCCCCCCCTGGCTTCCGGAGGCCATCTAGTGGGTGAGCAGAGTCCAAAGCCATCCGTGATCGGCTGAGTTTTGCCATCCCACTCGAGGTTCAAAGGCAGCCCGATGTTGTGGCACTCCTGATGCTTGAAGGGCTCCGGCCTTTCGACCTCACCCCCCTCCAGCACCTCCGAATCATCTGACTGGACCGCCTCAAGATCAACACTGTGCTCTTCGCCCGGAAGGACGAAACCATGCCCGCGAAGAAACGCGAGATCCTCATCGCATGCCTGAGTATGCTCCGATACACTGAAAGCTATGATGACTAATCTCTTACCTTTCCAGGGCATTGTGAGGTGAAGATCGCGGTAGGCATGTATGTAGGTGGGTGTCTCACTGATCGGAAGAAGGTGACCACTTAAGCGCTTACCGTCAACAATCTGAACAGACTCCCCATCCTGGGCCTCGACCCAGATCTCTCCTCCTACGAAGTCAGTAACCCCTATTATCCCATTGGGCAAAGGTGCGTTCCTGGAGTCTTTGTGGGGCTTGGTGCCAGTGTTAAGGTAAAGGCTAATCGTGGTAAAGGGGTGCCCGGGCATGTTGCTACGCACGAAGGATGCCAAAGCTTCTGTGGAAGCCGGGAAGCCTTTGCACGCGGACCTGAGCCCGATCAGGCCTCCACCCTTCCGGTACAAGCCTGTCGAAAAGCTGCTAGGAACCCAATTAGAGGACACCGCCGACCTAGGCGGAGTCTCATGCGGCAGCAGTTTGAAGAGAGCATGGACCTCGGCCCGAGTCGGGGCTCTCGATGAAGAAATGATGCGTGCGAACTCCTCGGCTTCAACTTGTTTCTTAACCCCCCTAGGTGCTGCCTTCGGCTGCGGTTGCCCCGAAGAGTCTGGCCCCGAAGAGTCTGGCGACGGCAACAAAGTGGAAGGAGGTGCTTCCGACTCGATCAAGCCAACCGCCTCTACCCTATCAGTAACCGCCTCTACCCTATCGGAAACCACCTGGTGCAGCCCCTGCGGCACTTCACATAAATCCTGATGCACCTCCTGCGTCGCCTCGTGGGATTCCTGCATTGGACCTGCCTCACCTGGAACGGAGCTGTGCGGCGCTGACCCAAGTCCCCCCTGCGAAGCGGAAGCAAGCACAGCATGCGCAAGCCACTCACACAACAGAGGAGGATAGGCTGCTGATGACTCGGTCGCCCAGCGGGAGCCTTCTCGGCCTGCAAGGACTTTGTCATGTTTCCCGTGCGGGCAGCGTGGCGGCAACGGCCCCACGTAGCGATCACTGGAGTCGAAGCGTGGCCATGAAGCAAAAGGCGGAGGCTGCTCGACAAAGGCCCGTAGATTAGTGAGAAGGCGTGTGGGTTTGGAAGTGGGAGCCTCAAAGCTGCATTGAAAGAAAGCAAAAGTGATGGCCTGAGTGGAAACCTGGAGCTCACGCAGAGCTGGTAGCTGCCAGATGGAAGCCGGTAACTCGTGATCCGGCGTTGCGCCGAGATCCTCCGGGTGCTCCAGAACATACTGCCATGCAAGTTGACATGCCGTCACGGTCTGATCAAGAAAATAATTGGCCTGCTCCACCTGCTGCGCGTGCAAATTGCTTAACCATGGAAAACCTCTAGGATAAAATGCTGAACGTAGTGGCTTTGGCCCGGGGTGGCGATGCCGGACTCTGGAAAATGTCTCGCAAGGAGGAGAGGCAATGAGGATCCAATCCCCTTCGCCAAGCAATTGAAAGATGTGCTGCCACAAGCCTTCCTTAGTCAAGTCATGCTCCGTGGAGCGCTGAAGATCGAACTGAAGAAGATTAGTGACATTGCCCAATGACTGAAGGTAAGAGCCCACATCACCTTTGCGATGGGGCCCCGCGAAAATGTAGAGCACACGAAGCCCGCTCGGACTGTACAGCTGAGGCTGGTAGGCGATGTGATCTGATGTCTCAATGGTAGAAACCGAATCATGCGATAGTCACTCCTTGGGCTTGCTGGTCTTAAGCTTATGCTCGGTCGCTGAGTGAGGCTGATAACAGCCCTTGACCCGGCACACATGCAAGCGTTCGCATGAAGGATTGGTGCAGCCCTGCGAGTTGAATGCAAAGCAAATGTCGCGGCCCTCCGGCGTGCGCCAAACCAACTGAAGGCCCTTAAGAGCCGGGTCCGAGGGGCTTTTGCCGTTCTTGCCCCCCTTGGAGTCTTTGCCCTTGCCGCCCTTTCCTGTCTTGCCTCCGTCCTTGCCATCCTTGCCCTTGCCCTTGCCTTTGTGCCACTTGCGTGGTCGCTCAATGATGGACAAGGCGAGCGGCGTCGTGAAGTAGGTCTCCTTAAGCTCCGCTGAAGAAATGACTGAAGCCAGAGCGCCTGCCAGAGTATAACCCTGATCATTGACCAGACGGACAGCCTCCTTGCGCAACCGGTGCTCATAGGCCAAGACTACTTCCCAAGGTGGCGAAAGTGAAGGCACATCGGCTGGCTGATGAGACGTAGGCACTGAGAGCTGAGCGACCTTTTCGCCAAGGATGTAGTTCACGAAGTGGTCGAAGTCAGACAGCTTAAGATCCTGAAGCCACTGCTTGGATTTAAAGCGGGATGCCATGCATAGCCACGTGAAAGCTTCCACGCGAAGGACCTTGCGATAAGCTTCTGTAGTAGTCGGGAGCTCGCTCTTGGATTTGTGCTGAGTAATATGAATTCGCCCCGAAGCGTCAAGGCTGGACTGGATGCTCGTGGTGAGCGTGTTCTTCTTCGAAGTTATGGCATCCAAGGTTGAAGCCTGAGGCTCATTGGCTTCGCACTCCTCGCACTTGAGAGCGAGGTACTCAGACGATGGAGTCTCCGACTCTCCCAGCTGCCCGTGAACGGCCGCTACCGCTTTGAGCATTGCTTGCCTCTCTGTGACTTGCAAGATTCGCGGCTGGCCTAACACTTTCGCCTCTGCTCGTGTTTCCGTCTCTTTGCTGATTACGTCGCGTGCAAGTTCCCATGCAGCGACGACCCCCGCGATTTGTTGTCGCCCATCAGCAGCCCCATCATCAAGACCAAAGTCCGCCTTCCCAGCAGCCCGAGCTTCCGGCCGGGAATCGGCGATTGCCTGGAATCGCCTAAGTGTTGTGTGTCGTTGCACAATGCGATACTGGGCATCCAGAGACAAGCCAGCTTCTCCGAGCACAAACTGCAAATCGCTATCTGCTTTGGTTATGAGCTCGCGCTTCTCGGCATCTGTGGCGGCCATTGCGACAACAGTAACTAACTCCCGCTACTCCTGATGCGAAGGCCGCGCCCCGGCCTGTGGCCCTGTAGGACTTGGATTGCTAGCCGCCCTGAGGCCTTTAGCTGCACTGCGATGTGTCCACCCGTCGCCCTGAGGCCTGTGACAGGATGCGGAATCCGCCGGCACCTCACGGCCTGCGCCGAGTGAGACTTCCTCCTGCTTGAACAGCGCCAGCACGTGCACTTAATCAGCATGAACTGTTATCGCGAAACAACTTCAAGATGCCCTGAGAAAAGTCAGCATGGACTGTTATCGTGGATCTACTTCAAGGCGCCCTTGCATAAGCAACTCATGCCAACTTCTGGCTAGGACTTGCAGGGCACAGCCTATCCACAGCAGTCGAAAGCATGTTTTGCCTTCACATCGACTCGCTCCCACTGTCACTGCTGGAGGGGTCTGATTCCTCCTCTCCGGCCTGAGCCTTCATTCTTGCTTTGCAATCTTTGCAAATGTTATCGACGTCCTCCGCGCCGACATGACTGACAAATTTCACATCATAACAATTCTCAGGCTTGACATAGCAGCCCAACATGTGCAGACGCCTCAGGCCTGTGGTGCGAGAGGTAACGATGAAGTAATCCCCCCGGCTGCCTGGCATCGAAACCTGCTCGACTGGAGAAGGTGGTGCCGCAACACCCACTTCCAATGCCAGAGTTGGCCACGACCCGCCCAAGCCTTTGGATCCCTCGAGGAGGGTGTGACGGCGACGAACCTGAGACTCGCTCTCCCCCGCCTTAGCTGCATAGTCCGTCAAAGCCTTGATGGAATCCACCTCGATGTAGTGCTTTGGCTGTCCGGTGACAAGGGAACAAGCAATGTGACTCTGGAGACGATGCACAACCTGCCTAGAAGTGCGAATGTAGGTTGCAGAACCTTCGCCACCTACCTTCCAGCGACCCAGATAATCAAGCTCCCTGGGGTCGACATCGATGGCCGCTCCGACCGAGCTAAGGAAGTTCCTCGCAGAATGTCCCGTAAAATGACTGGAAGTGTATCCCGGGAGCAGCGGACGCTGATCATTGGCCTTCCAGGTGCGCCCCTCACGCTTGGGCGTTTTCAACTCACTGAGAACTTTGCGGAAGTAAAGGGCCACCGTGGAGGAAGGCACCGATTTCTCCAGGGGTTCCGTGAAACCTTCATTGGCCTTCAAAACCAGATAATCCCTCTCAAAATCGAAATCCTTCCAAAGTGCATATCCGACCTTCAGCCAATCATGCCCTGTCAGAGAGATACTCCGTTCCACGAAGACCTTGACGGTGTGGGTCCTTTTGTCGGGCCCTGTAGTCTTGGACCGCGCGAGATCAATGCTAAGCCCTCGCTCGTCCAGAAGCATGGTCTGCGGCAAGAGCCCCTGAACATCATCAGCCCGAAGCGATCCCCAAACCATCAATAAGCAGACAAAGCCCAATGCTCTCAAGTAACTAAGCTCCCCGGGCGTGCAAACGAAGATCTCACATGCAAGAACGATAGCAACAGTGAGCATGCTGGCTGGCTGCTCCGGCGGTGCCGCCGAAACCAAATCGGCTGTGTAACTTTTGAGCTGCGCCTGCCATGTGGGATCCTGAGATATCTGCTGCGTAGACGGCACGCGCCCTACACCTTCAATTACACTGAGAGAGGCTTGCAGGCTTTCGAGAACTGTCTTTCCACATCCTTCCTGGAATCGTTCATTGGCATAATCTAGCACATCAGCTACCCCTTCCGGATAGCTCCTGCCACGGCTATAAAGCAACCATTCCCGAAACTTGTCCCAAGCTCTAAAGCGATTTCTCAATGTCTTGGATCGACGGGTCCCGAACAGCCGTGGCCAGGCTTCCTCGGCATTGCTGACCCCTGCAAGCACCTTGCACACCGGCAGTTGCGCCTCCTGCATGATGGCCGCAAGACGCAATGCATACTCCTGCCGAAGCCGTATCTCCTCAGTGGCCCTGGCACCGCGATCTACGACCCTATCAGTAGCTAACTTCCGCTTGCGAAGAACCGGAAGCAACGCAAGTGGACTCTGAAGTGCAATCTGATTGTAATGCTCATGCAAGCTAAGGCCAGTTCCCGGGACACTGGGCAAGCACTCTGTCAAGCGCCTCCTTGATTCCCTGCGCCCACTCGCAACTGTGCGAGCATTGTCTGCATGCCATTCAAGAAGTGCATCCGCAATCAACTGCAGGCTACTTTCAAGAAGTGTGTTATCGCAAGCCCTAAGCAATGATACAAGCTCTTCCCTCGTGTCGAATGAGGCATGCAATTTCTCAGGCGTGCTAAACCACTCTTCAAGGCGGTTGCGGTATGGTGGCACCAAAGCGGGCCATCCGAGTCCTGTGCCACTCATGGCCGACCATGGGCCGCAGGGCCACCCTTCTACCGCTTTCGTAGTCCTAAAGTATGGAGCTACCGTGAAGCTAAACTGTCCAGTCATGCGTCACAACGATGCTTGTGAATGCTAGCCCCATACAATCAAAATTTTCCCTGCTCCTGAGCCTGAGCTCTGCGTCCATGATAAGCAATGAGCTTGTGCGCGCACTCAGCTTCTGGCTCCATTCTGAAAAGCGCACGATACGTAAATAAAATAGAAACTCAAAACTGCTCAATAAAACTTTTCTCTTTGAAACTGCGGAGATCTTCGAGTTGGTCCAGTCGAGGGAACTCCTCCTACCCACAGAGACACCCCGCCCCGCCCACCCAAAACGTTTACTCTAAACAGCGCCGCCGGGCAAGCCCGGCAGGGCAGCGCAGGTGCCCCCAGATTTGGCTGCCATTCTATTAGGCTGGCTCAGTTGCTCCGAATACCAAATACACAATGGTGCACATACCTCATGCCTACAGGTGGGACGCGGAGTAAAACAGGGATGCCGAGGATCGCCTACAATCTTTTTGGCGTTCATGACGCTTATATGTCAACGACTGAACGAAAAACTCGGCCCTCGATTCTGCCAGGAGCACTTGACACAATACGCGGATGACACGCATTCCGCGTGGACCTTTCACAGCTACGAGGAACTTCGCAAGTGTGTTTGGCAACTTTCTGTCATTATGGAAACCCTTGAGGAGTTTGGTATGTCCCTAAATGACGACAAGGCGCAAATTCTATTCACCGTGAGGGGTACTCTGAAGCAAAAGGCACGCAGCGTTTTCACCACCAAGGTTCGCAACAATCTGGTGTTTGTGATTGAGGGTGAGAAAGGCACTCGACATGTCCCTTTGGTGCGATCTACTGTGTATTTGGGAGCCAAGATTTCATACGACCAGTTCGAAGCGCAGACGATTGCACACAGGATGCAGAAGGCCAATGTTCGATTCTGGCAGTTGCAGAAGTTCTTTACGAGCAAACGAGGTCTTGGTATTCATCAAAGGATTCGGATGTGGATGGCTACCATTAGGCCGACGCTCATGTATGCAGTTGATTGTTGCTTGGTTGGTCCCACTCTCCAACGCAAATTACAGACTCTCATCATGAAGCATTTCAGAGCCATTTGTTCGTGTCCGTCACACATCTCTCACGTTAGCGATGCAGATCTGCTGGCTAAGTATCGTGTCGATGGTATATCTGACTGGCTGAAGGCTGCTTGTGACCGTGATGTAAATATCAACGACACGATTGGCATTTCCACGGCTACACTCGCTGGATGGCATGCCAAAATGAGTGAGACCTTGAAGGCTTCCCAACACCGCCTCACGCACGTGGCCAAAGAGATTCAACCACATGCCTGTCCCGTGTGTGGTGTGTATTTTGACTCTCGCAAATCGGTGAAACTGCACATGCATCAGAGCCACAAGCCTCCTAAATCCAACGATGATTTGCAGCCTCCGAACACTGCTTCTGTTGAACCTTCGGATGGTGTGACTCCGACAGTTCCAAATGTCACAGTGACCACGTCAGGGCAGTCCAGTCGACTGTTGAGCGGTGCCCAGACTGCCATGGACGCTGCTGCTGATGCTGATGCTGATGTTGAAGATAGTGTACGAATGTCTACAGTACAGATTGTCCCGGCAAACGAGTGTGTCGTGACTCCTTCTACACAATCTCCGGATCTGCCCATGGTTCCTGCGCAACAGGGCAGCGCTGGTATGATCTTTGATCGATCAGTGCACTCCCGAGATGGTCTTCCTACATGTTCTGGCTGTGGGGCTAAGTTCCGCAGGTGGGATACTCTTCGCAAGCACATCAACAAAGGCTGGTGTCCCGTCTTTGCCAAACATGATGCACCTGCTGTATCCGCACTTAGTGATGTGAAGGCGCTTGCAGTACAGGATCATGTCCCGATCACGCAGCGTTCTGAGGTGATCCAGGCTATTACTGATCGCGGGCTTGAGGGGTTGCGTCTTATACCCGGCCTATTCCAGGAGATGCAAAACAGGTGCGTCATTTGCCACACATGGATTGCTCATACCTTTATGATGAAGAATCACTATCGCAATACACATGGGGATCGATGGGATGAACTTAGCTCTTACTCCGATGAATTTCGGCGTCATCATGCACAGATTTTGTCACCGTGTCGCTATTGTGGTGTGGTTCGAGTCGGTGGGCAGGGTGCAGCTACTGCGCATTCCAAACAGTGTACGCCACTTTTTCAGTGTGCGGTCTTGTGTCATGACCATGGACGTGGATCGGGCGGGACAGCTCGAGGAGTTCTTCGGAGGACTGGCGAACTCGGACATTCCCATGCTAGGGGAGTCGATCAATCAAAAGCGCCAGGCAGATCGTCAGAGCCTACCCAACAAGGCACCGAGGACACCGGCAACGCCACAGCACAAGGGCAAAGGAAAAGGAAAAGATCAATCCAGAGGATCAAAACAAGGACAACAATCACAGATGGAGCTGCCGATCGAGCAGTTGATGGAGATTGTTCGATTATTGGTTCGCACATCGGTGCGGCACGAAGATGCTATTCAGACTCTCCGCCTCGACACAGGCCTGGTATGGTTTGTGAAAACAGGGGACGGGACTCCGGACACTACTTCGATCATTCCGTACTTGCAGGCCGTGGCTGCGAAATGGCATGGAAGGGAAAACCCCGAGATGTCGGATCGACCACTTCGGGAGGTTATGTTCATGGCCATTCTGCAGAAGCTGTTGACAAAGCTGGACGAGGTCGCCAAGGATCAGGCTGTGGCGCTTCGATGCCAGCAGGCGGGTTGGCTCACCACGGAGCAAAAGTGGGTTTATCAGAAGTGGTGCAAGGAAACTCGTACCCTGGTACAAGACAAGACCAAGGTCCCGGTACTGCATCAAACATTGGTTACATCGATCAGGAACATGCTTCGTATGGTGGACGAGGGCCCGGTGCTACATCGATTCTGCTCCACACGCAAGCTGGATCAGTACGAGACCGGAGTGGCAGTGTTTGTTCAGGACCTGTCGATTCGAGATCCCAACGGCACCCAGGTATTTCAGGGATTGTTGGACTACCAAGGCAATACGGCGTGGCAACTTATAGGAGCGCAGTACAGGAAGGAGAATTTGCAGCGAGCCCCGGCAGTTCAAGAACTCCTTCGCAAACTGGCAAACGTCTAATCCAGGCGATGCAGTTGTGCAATTCCTCCAACCACTGCTACATTAATTCCTGGTTCAGGTCGATGTATTGGACTACGGTGGCAGGCTCATCCGATCACACTGGCCCGCATCCTCAGGCTAATCTGCGCTCTTTACAACATGGCTTCATGGAAGCTTGCGCGGAGGTCGAAAGGGGACATCAGGTGCGACTTTTGGCTCAAAATGCTTGTCGCGATCTGTTGCGAGCTTGGGATTCGCCTGATGATCAACATGACGTTGTTGAGTTCGGGACCTATATTTTGACTCAGGTCGGGGCTATACACCTGTTGGGGTCATGGCAGGTCAGAACTCAGGAGGCCAATCGCATCGTTGTGCATGACACTGGACATGTGATGACGCTACACCCGACAAGGAACCGATCCTCCATCCATATGATGATCTCGCATTGGGAGGTGGCTACACATGCAACTGTCTGCGCTTTTCATCGGCCTCCAAATCTTATCCTGATGCAGGTTATGCGATTCCGGAATGATTCATCGGGCCGTCTGAGAAGGTTGCAAGTGGCTGTAAAACACATGATTGACAACTTCAACATTCCTGTTTTCTCTGATGTACATGGGTCGGACGTGCATTATGTACTTTACAAGCCAGTTGCAGTGATTTGTCATCGCGGTTGTTCTCCGGCGAGCGGCCATTACACCACCATGCTTATTGATGACTTCTGTATGTGGCACTGCGATGACAACAAAGCTCCGGAATGTATTGTGCACCCGTCATCGCAACATTACTCTGAAGTGTATGCTGTGCTGTGTATTCGAGCTGAGAGTTGAGTGGAGGTGCACTGTAGTTAGTTGTACCTACTTTCGAGTGTGATCAATCGCATCATGCTCACTAGGACCTTACGAGGTAGCTGTTCCCTGGGCATGGGGGGTGGAATTGCCACCTTCGCATCTTTAAGGTGCCGGGCTGAAGCCTGCCGTACGAGCCCTGTCGCAAGGCATTGACATGCTGCGTGCAAAGTGACAAAAGTAGCCGAGGACCACCGTCCTGAAGGCATATGGCTTATGGATGACAATCGTAAAGGTCAGTGGATATCTCAGCTTTCGTCACAACAGCTTTCCAACATATACATGTTGTGGGCGATTCCGGACACAGCAGCTCCTCCAGGCGGATCGTGAATGGGTGCAGCGAGTGCGCTACTCAATGCTACCTTTGATGATTTCTTTCGTGAAGCTTGATCTTCCAGTGAGGCCTCGCTGACTCTGAAGCGTGTGATTGCACATGTTTCCTTCCTCCCGCATTTTGCGGTGGTTAATTAACTAGCGCCGTGGCCAGCTGCTGTAGCGTGCTTGGTCACGAGTGACGACGCTCTCCCGTACAGTGCAACCTGCTTTGCCTTTAGGGGCGGGGTTGTTTTTGCTGACGTGTGTTTGTTGGTCTTGAAGTTTGCAACGCAAACGAGCTCTAGAAGCTCCGGGTACCCTGGTTCACCCGTTCTCACCTGCCACAAGGCGGCTTCGACGCTGCTGTGCACAAAGTACAAAAGTAGCCGAGGACCTGGCCGAAGCTGGGCTTCACGCGGAAGCCGTTGCTTCTGCGCTCCTCCATTTACTTACAGCATCCCCCCGTAGACCTGGGAGTCACTGGTGTTCCTGCCGGCGGCCACGTCCCGCGCCATGCGCTGGATGCCCGCGCGCTCCGCCGGGGCATAGCGCAGTTGCGGGATGCGGCGGTTGACCGCCTCAGTCATGCGGCCCAATTCGTCCGCGTAGGTCTCGCCCTCCTGACGCAGGCGGCGATCGGCCAACCATTGATTGAAGGCTTGCGCCTCCACG